CTCTGGTGGAGCAGGAGCCTGCTTAATGAGCCCAGAGGGGCTGAAGGTGCAACTGATACCTTTTCTCTTATGACTTAGTGACAGACTGGAAGCCTTTGACAAGAGAGTGGGTGGTAGGAAGTGGCCCAAGGAGGAAGCCTTAGGCACTCCTGGGTGCTAGACATTTGGTAATGCTTATAGGTAAGGCTACGTTTTAGTCACAGGTATTTTTAGTAGAAAAGTCTTAGACACGTCACAGGAGTAAACAAAAAATTGCGGCCTGTGTCCAGTCCATGACTAACTATATAACCCTAATTAAAACTTTGGCGTGGGTTGCTCTGGGGGTGGTGGTCCAGGGGTGCCATTGGTGCTGGGGGGGGCCCAGGACCCCCGCTGGTGCTAAGGGAGGGGGAACTGGGCAACAGCACATGACCCCGCTGGTGCGGGGGGGAGAACAGGCGGTAGCTCACGGCCTGGGATACCCACTGGTGCTGGGGTTGGTGGGGGGGGTTGGCAGGGCTGATAGGCTCCCTACCTGGCTCTGCATGCCCCCACAGCTCCTAGGGGGAGGGAAGGCCAGGGGGTTCCGGGAGTGCTGCTCCTGCCACAAGTGCAGCTCCCATTGGCCGGGTACCACAGCCAATGGGAGCTCCAGCTCGGGCAGCCTCTGAGCCTCACCAGCTGCTGCACAAGTCACAGAAAGTCACGGAATCCGTGAGTTCCGTGACAGACACGCAGCCTTACTTATAGGCCCTAGGTTGGACTTCAGTGGAGTGGGAGGGCCTGGACTCCACTGCCAACTCATTAAGAAAGGCAAAAAAATCCCTCACCTTTTAGACTCACCCCTGGAGGTACAAAAGGAAGGAAAGGATTTATACCTTTTGCAAACCCTGGCTGGGATTTGACACTTATGAGGTGGGCCATGTCAGACTGGAGGGAGAGAGGACTGAGTTGTAACCTGACTGGAGGGTTGAGTCAACCCCCACTAAACGACAGACTAACACCAGGTCTGAAGATGGTCTAGGGGAAAGAGTAGAGCCTAACTCCCTAAGTACTGGGCAATGCCACCTGCAAACACCCACTCCCACTCATCATGTTCTCTATAACTCTGGTGGTTGCAAAAGTATCCACTAGCAAAGTACAGCAACATCATACCCTCTTAATCACAAGATATATCAACATTCTTGAATGGGCATAAACCTCTAATACTAAATCATGATGCACATCCAATACTTTATCGGTGGAGAGTATCTCTCCATCTTGGATAGTTCTAACCCATTTATCCCCAAAGCACGAGTCCTGTACAGCTTATTAGAAAGCACTAACAATGTCCACTAGGTTATTACCCCCCCTTCCATGGTGGATATTTTAGTTTGGTTGCATTTTACTGTGTTTTTTTTTAATCTCATGCACTGTAAACTCTTTGAAACTCCTCCAGACAAAATCACACACTCCTGAATAGTGCAACTGATTAGATTATAAAAGCTAAGAATTTCTGTAGTAGGGTCACTTATTATACATTGCCTTCTCTAGCAACTACATAGCAACATGTATATTAAAGCAACAAAAATAAAACAAAATCTGCCTCCCAAAAAACAACCTCATCCCTGCCCCCCCCCCAAAAAAACAAAAAACCCCACAGCCAAAACAGTCAATGCTCCCCGACAATATCCTCTATGCAGGGTGCCTTCTTAGCTGATATAAAGCTAGCATAAGGGCTCTACATCAGCCCCCTGATTTATGGGTGGATCATGGGTGTGTTGAAGATGTGGCTGGAGTGCACTGTAGGATAGCTGTTCTTTGTCTGATAGCCACTGATGGTTATGGAAAGCAGAGCATCATTTATAGAACTCCTGAAGCTGCTCTATATTAGGGGCCAGGCAGTTTCTTGCACAGCCCTAGAATGAAGGGAGCACAAAGGTGACTTATAATTTGGCTACTGAGAATCAGGTCCATTGATTTACTGGAGAATAAAACTTGATCAGGTACTGAAACATTAAAATTCTGAGGCTGATAAAAAAAGAAAAGGGAGGGGACTTTATATCCTTTCTGAAAACTGTCTTCCAAGAACTCAAACACACCTGATAATTCTACTTCTACTAAGAGTACAAATTGCACTGCCTTTATACAACTGTCATATACAGCCACAAGATATTTATTTTTCCTAGATCTTGGATCTGGCACTTTACGCTCAAATATATGCTCGGAGTCCACTGAAGCATGACTTTCTTTAAAAAAAAAAAAAAAAAAATTAAAACTATCTTTCCAGAAGAACTCTTGGGGTTTTTCTTTTAAAAATGTTTTGTAATTTACTTGCCTTCTTTTTATCAAATATTATCAATTGGTACAACAGATACTGTAACACACTATTCTTATTTTACATGCTTTTTTTTTTTAGAATGAAAAAATTAGTTGGGATAGATTTAATCTACTAATCACAATATACAGTTTAAATTGGAGGCAACAATTTTACACCCAGCCAAAGTGTCAGATAAGTTTCATATACAACAAAAAATACCTGTTTTGTAATCTTAAAATCACATTGAGACTCATAGATTATACGAAGACAATACCTGGTGCTGATTTAGATATGGACAATCTTTTGCTTCTAACTCATTGGGTATTATTTGTTCAACTCATGAAATGAGAGGAAAGATAATTTAAAGCTAAACACACACATTTAAGGTAACTTTGATTTGTTTAAATAAGCACGCAGTCAAGGCTGAATGTGCAGCCTTTATTTTGTCCCTTTGCATATATGCATGCAGTGCCATACAGTTTCTGGGCCTTTCCTTGCTACTCCCAAAATGGTCAGAGGGATTATTGCTGAGCAATTTAAGTTCCTGTCCCCACAATCAGAGGCTAAGCATATTGCCTTTTCAATATTTTCAGCACCTCCCGAAATAAGAGGGACATTTTTTGAGGCTCTGACTATAATGATTAGTGCATCTATCATATCTAACTCTCTTTGGATCATGGTGCTGTACTAAATTAGGCTCCTATTTCCTCTTAACAATCAGTTTGTATCTCATAATGATGTCTGCTCTTCTATTACATATATTATCACAAGAGTTCCACTATACCATTCCAGGTGCCTTGATTTACATACTACTATTAGGTGAACTGATCTATCACCATGGTGTTTAATTTAATTTATATACTGGGAACACAATTAAATTTAATTTGTCCCCATACTCTACTTGCTATCTCTGTTGTGAATGCCTAAATAGTGTCAAGGCATATTTAGATATTTCTTACAACTTAATGCAAGGGTTTGTGGGATATAAACACGAGCTAAAAATCACTCATCTCTTAATTCTGTCTTTTCTCTCCATCTCTTTTAGAATGCTTTTTTTCCCCAGGATTTGCAATTTAGCAGTTCAGCTGGAGTCTCGTCTAACATTTGAATGAAATGTTTGTTTTATGGAAATCTCCATTATATTGCCTTAGGAATATTGCCAGATTACATCTCCACCTCATTTCTGCTGACGCATAGGTCTTTATTCAAACCTTTGTGTCATCTTGTTTAGACTATTGTTGTAGAGCCCTTTTATGCTGTTTTGCCCTGCATGCCATTAATAGACTTCAGCTGGTACAAAATGCCACAGCTAGAATTCTGCTTGGCATCTGATAGTAAGAGCATAACTCCAGTTTTGATCAGTAGACACTACGTAAGTGTTCTTATTTAAGGGCATAGGTGTATGGACCTAGACAATCTGCAGTATGTCAAGAGGCCATGCAATGTTACACTATGAAGATTTTTGATTAAAAAGATTACAAAAAGAAAGCAAATATCTGAAACCACCAAAGGAAGCTTTATCTCCAATCTAGATCTAACCTCCTCAGCCCCCAAACAGTGCTGAAAAATAAGCAGTTTCCAAAGGAGGGGTGATTGACTCCACGCAGACAACATGAAATGTAAAAGTATACGAAGATTTAGTCTGAGACTTTAAATGGCCAAGTTATGGAAACAACAACAATTAGTCACAAAAATGAAAATGTTCTTTTTCTAATTGTAGCATTACTAAATCCCTTGTGAGTGAGTCTGTCTATATTTTCCTTGTTATGTTGTCTTACATACTTATGACAAAATCTGATTTCATTGGTAAAGCCCCCCTTTCACGCTGATTTTGGGCTCACAGATGTAGAGCATGTAAATCCACATATTTTCTTTTCACAACCTTGCTATAACAAGGCAAACTTTGGTCCCTTAATTCAGCGGGAATTTTGTCAGTGATTTCAGTGGGATCATGGGACCAGGGACTCTGACGTGAAATTGAGGTTGGATTATCTAGATTAACACAGTATGCCAATATCTTCTTCAGTCATAAATGAATCATTCAACTACCTTTTGGCTTTACATTGAGGGGAGACAGGGTAAGAGATATTATACGTCCCCCTCCCTATTCCCTTGTATAATATTAAACACTCAAAATTCAACAAGTCCTAACTAATCCTATTTGATTATAAATATTGCTGTTTAACTCTCTGCTTAGTTGCTTAAATCTTCACTTAAGAACAGATGCAATGATTTTAAAATGCCCTCTGTTTATTATCATTTAATACATAATTATAGCAAATTTTTAACTGATCAATTTTGTGCAGAGTACTTATTGCAATATGTTCTGATTTTTGAAAGGCAATGTGCCTGATAATAGTTTCCAAAAAAGTTATGCAACTATTGAAAAAATAATCAGAGTCAATATTTCTAACAACGTCATTTCAAAACCTAGTGCTAGAAGGTAATAGCCTGGTATTGCTACATATAAGGAATCAAGATACTATACAACCTATTACTTCAAGCTTGAAGAGAAACAGGCCCCATGTGCAGTAGAAGCAATACTGTGTTAGCCAAAATCATATTTAAATATTGTCCTTCTAGTAAGGATGGTTTCAACACTCTGCCTGGCCAGTGTTGACCAAGGAGAACTGTTTTACAAACTGTGCTCTATATTAGGTCAGGTTTCTCTTCCAGGGTAGACACTGTCCTAAATCCAACAAAAATATTTGTAGTTTCATACCAGCACTTGTACTCTAGACTCTGCTCCGGGACACTTGCTTGTTTTCTTTGTGGTATACTCCAGTTTCTTCTGATTCCTTAATTTATCTTCTACCTGGAGTTTTCACCAACTCCTCATCCTTGTAAGATAACCAGAAACATGCAAAGGAAAAGAATAAAATGATTAATGAAAAATAAAACCCTTGAAATATAAAATCTTGAAAATAACCCTAATAAAAAGAAATGCCACAGTTGCAGGAGTGGGAAAGGACAAGGATGAAAGATTTGAAACAGGAATGTACCAGAACACACAGCAAAATATTTTTAAACTGAAAATATTTAATGGATGCACATGCTTCTTACTCATCACAATATAATTCTCTACAGTCTATTTGCTGCCATTCTTAATTAACTGAGTGAAGTTCAGAACTCAGTTAAACAAGAATGGTGGCTATCCAGCAAGTTGATAGGGTCCCATGCATTGTTTAGGCATTGGAACAAGTTTGCCTCCATATTTGGTACAGACCCAGGGATCAATATGCACATACTTGGTGGAGTTCCTAGGGAGAATTCCTACAGAAATGGCAGAGTGAGTGAAGCAGGAGCATCAGGGCTTCCAGCCAATACTCCACAACGTGCATGAGCCTCAGTGCATACACAACTGTGGTAGGAGGGAAAAGTCTAGCAGAAGCAAAAGCACAACAGCAGCAATGGGGTCATGTGACACCTCTGATTACTGGGCTAAACTGTCACCATCATTAATTCCAACAGTTTGTCTTCTCACCTAAGGAGAGCGCCAATAGTTGCAGAAGACATCATACAAAAGAGGTGTGATCTTCCCTAAATTACAAAACTGTCCCATACCAGACACTCAGGAAACAGCTCCAGTTGATATGATACTCAGTGATTCCTAAGAAATGTCTTCCATTTGGGTAGAAAAGCATAGGAAACTGTATTAAGGCCCAAGTCATATTTTAAAGAAATGTTTGGGTGAATACAGTAGGTCCCACTCACTCTAGTGAGCCTGAGTAATCCTGTTTGTTGAGATATTTTAAAAAATGTTTCTAAAATCTTTAATTTGAAGTATCTTGGATTTGTTTCTATTATCCCACTCTTCCACGTGTGCCTTCTCACCCCTCATGCATGAACTCCCTCCACAAACTAATCCATAACACCACTGCTGTGTCCTCCTCAAGTTCCATAGGCATCTGCTGTGATGACTATGGAACACAGATGGCTGATAATGGTTAGGAAGGTGGGGAGCTGGGACAGCTTTTAAAAACAACCTCCACAGCACTTTTGTACCTACAAATTACACACCCAGCCAGTCTATGAAAGACATGGTGGTATTACTGTTGCCTCTCCTAATCCCAGTTTGTCTATCACACCCATTTGTTTAGACTGAAAAGTCTCTGGGACAGGGACTTCCTCTATATTTGTAAAACACCAACCTCAGGTTGGGGGACTTAAGACACTACTGTAATATAAATAATAATTACAAGCAAAGAAAGTTAAAAGAGCTCAATCCTCTTTGTGTGCATGTACGATACAGCCTTCACTGACATCACCATATAATATTTTTCCAACACCTATCCATTCAGTTAATGGTTGGTTATTCAAATTTTTTTTTAGTTTTCTCATACAGTGTGCAGCCTCAGGCCTTATTTACAGCACACAATCCAAACCCTGCACTGAATACTAATATTAAACTTTCTCTTACTATGTTGCTGATTGTTATAACATCTGAAGGCTTCACAAACATCAATAAATTTATCTTCAAAACATGCTGTGAAATTAGATGATATTATTATCCCCATTTTAAAGATGGGGGAAACTGAGGCACAGACAGATTTAAACTCAAAATTGTCAACAGGTTCCTCCAGCAGCAGAATACGGACCCTGGACTTCAGAAAAGCAGACTTTGACTCTCTCAGGGAACTGATGGGCAGAATCCCCTGGGAGAATAAGATGAGGGGGAAAGGAGTCCAGGAGAGCTGGCTGTATTTTAAAGAATCTTTATTGAGGTTACAGGAACAAACCATCCCGATGTGTAGAAAGAATAGTAAATATGGCAGGCAACCAGTTTGGCTTAACAGTGAAATCCTTGCTCATCTTAAACACAAAAAAGAAGCTTACAAGAAGTGGAAGATTGGACAGATGACCAGGGAAGAGTATAAAAATATTGCTCGGGCATGCAGGAGTGAACTCAGGAAGGCCCAATCACACTTGGAGTTGCAGCTAGCAAGAGATGTTAAGAGTAACAAGAAGGGTTTCTTCAGGTATGTTAGCAACAAGAAGAAAGTCAAGGAAAGTGTGGGCCCCTTACTGAATGAAGGAGGCAACCTAGTGACAGAGGATATGGAAAAAGCTAATGTACTCAATGCTTTTTTTGCCTCTGTCTTCACAAACAAGGTCAGCTCCCAGACTACTGCACTGGGCACTGCTGCATGGGGAGGAGGTGACCAGCCCTCTGTGGAGAAAGAAGTGGTTTGGGACTATTTAGAAAAGCTGGATGAGCACAAGACCATGGGGCCGGATGTGCTGCATCTGAGTGTGCTAAAGGAGTTGGTGGATGTGATTGCAGAGCCATTGGCCATTATCTTTGAAAACTCATGGCGATCGGGGGAGGTCCCGGTCGACTGGAAAAAGGCTAATGTAGTGCCCATCTTTAAAAAAAGGGAAGGAGGAGGATCTGGGGAACTACAGGCCAGTCAGCCTCACCTCAGTCCCTGGAAAAATCATGGAGCAGGTCCTCAAGGAATCAATTCTGAAGCACTTAGAGGAGAGGAAAGTGATCAGGAACAGTCAGCATGGATTCACCAAGGGCAAGTCATGCCTGACTAATCTAATTGCCTTCTATGACGAGATAACTGGCTCTGTGGATGAAGGGAAAGCAGTGGACGTGGTATTCCTTGACTTTAGCAAAGTTTTTGATACGGTCTCCCACAGTATTCTTGCCAGCAAGTTAAAGAAGTATGGGCTGGATGAATGGACTATAAGGTGGATAGAAAGCTGGCTAGATCGTCTGGCTCAACGGCTCCATGTCTAGTTGGCAGCCAGTATCAAGCAGAGTGCCCCAAGGGTTGGTCCTCAGGCTGGTTTTGTTCAATATCTTCATTAATGATCTGGAGGATGATGTGGATTGCACCCTCAGCAAGTTTGCAGATGACACTAAACTGGGAAGAGTGGTAGATACACTGGAGGTTAGGGATAGGATACAGAGGGACCTAGACAAATTAGGGGATTGGGCCAAAAGAAATCTGATGAGGTTCATCAAGGACAAGTGCAGAGTCCTGCACTTAGGATGGAAGAATCCAATGCACCGCTACAGACTAGGGACCGAATGGCTAGGCAGCAGCTCTGCGGAAAAGGACCTAGGGGTTACAGTGGATGAGAAGCTGGATATGAGTCAACAGTGTGCCCTTGTTGCCAAGAAGGCCAATGGCATTTTGGGATGTATAAGTAGGGGCATTGCCAGCAGATCGAGGGACGTGATCGCTCCCCTCTATTCGACACTGGTGAGGCCTCATCTGGAGTACTGTGTCCAGTTTTGGGCCCACACTACAAGAAGGATATGGAAAAATTGGAAAGTGTCCAGCGGAGGGCAACAAAAATGATTAGGGGACTGGAATACATGACTTATGAAGAGAGGCTGAGGGAACTAGGATTGTTTAGTCAGCAGAAGAGAAGAATGAGGGGGGATTTGATAGCTACTTTCAACTACCTGCAAGGGGTTCCAAAGAGGATGGATCTAGACTCTTCTCAGTGGTAGCTGATGACAGAACAAGGAGTAATGGTCTCAAGTTGCAGTGGGGGAGGTTTAGGTTGGATATTAGGAAAAACTTTTTCACTAGGAGGGTGGTGAAGAACTGGAATGTGATACATAGGGAGGTGGTGGAATCTCCTTCCTTTGAGGTTTTTAAGGTCAGGCTTGACAAAGCCCTGGCTGGGATGATTTAGTTGGGGATTAGGTCCTGCTTTGAGCAGGGGGTTGGACTAGATGACCTCCTGAGGTCCCCTCCAATCCTGATATTCTGTGATTCTATGAATTTGGGGTACCTACTTGAGATACCCTAAAAATTGGACCCTGGGTACTTGGCACATTATAGCACTCTTTATGTTCCAAGTACAGCTCCATTTGGCTTCAGTGGCAGCTGTGAGTGCTTTTCACTTCTACAAACCTAGCTATAAGTGTCTCATATTGGGCACCCAGGAAACAGGAATATACAGTTAGCGGCCAACTCAACGTTTTCCTTAACATGACTTATGGAATCATAGAATAACAGAGTTGGAAGGGCCCACTGGAGGCCATCTCGTCCAACCCCCTGCCCAGAGCAGGACCAATCCCAACTAAATCATCCCAGCCAGGGCTTTGTCAAGCCTGACCTTAAAAACTTCTAAGGAAGGGGATTCCACCACCTCCCTAGGTAACGCATTCCAGTGTTTCACCACTCTCCTAGTGAAAAAGTTTTTCCTAATATCCAACCTAAATCTCCCCCACTGCAACTTGAGACCATTACTCCTTGTTCTGTCATCTGCTACCACTGAGAACAGTCTAGATCCATCCTCTTTGGATCCACCTTTCAGGTAGTTAAAAGCAGCTATCAAATCCCCCCTCATTCTTCTCTTCCGCAGACTAAACAATCCCAGTTCCCTCAGCCTCTCCTCATAAGTCATGTGTTCCAGTCCCCTAATCATTTTTGTTGCCCTCCGCTGGACTCTCTCCAATTTCTCCACGTCCTTCTTGTAGCGTGGGGCCCAAAACTGGACACAGTACTCCACATGAGGCCTCACCAGTGTCGAATAGAGGGGAGCGATCACGTCCCTCGATCTGCTGGCAATGCCCCTACTTATACATCCCAAAATGCCATTGGCCTTCTTGGCAACAAGGGCACACTGTTGACTCACATCCAGCTTCTCGTCCACTGTAACCCCTCGGTCCTTCTCTGCAGAACTGCTGCCTAGCCATTCGGTCCCTAGTCTGTAGCGGTGCACTGGATTCTTCCGTCCTAAGTGCAGGACTCTGCACTTGTCCTTGTTGAACCTCATCAGATTTCTTTTGGCCAATCCTCCAATTTGTCTAGGTCCCTATGTATCCTATCCCTACCCTCCAGCGTATCTACCACTCCTTCCAGTTTAG